AATGACAGGTTCTAGTGTAGTATCAATGTATGGTGTGAACAAGACAGATTCTTCTTCATTAAACACAACAAAGGCTATACGACACTGGTGCTTTAGGTTTTGCGAAGCATAAAAGTGGTAGTTTCCTTTCTATGAAAAGTACACATTTGGTATTATTTACTTATGAAGTTCTGAAATAAATCAAGATAAAAAAACATATTCACAGAATACCATACAATCATTTCAGCAGTCCTCGGGAAAACTGTGTTTTCCAGAGGCATTAGTAATTCCGTACAAAGATTACTCATATACTTACACATACAGTATGACTAGTTTTGTTTTGAATCAGAGCATTTGAATGTAGGAAGACAGTAATCAGCATGCCAGGAAAAATAAATTTCTATTGCACAGAATTTCTTATGCATAGAGAAGCACTAAGATCAGTGTCTAGAGAAATTTGGAGGTGGCTAGGCTTCCTAGACCTTTGCTTCTTTTCAAGACAGAGCTAAAATAACAATGTGGGTCTACAGAGTCACACATCTGTTTCTTACTTATTTTCTTGATCTTGTCCTGGATCATATGGTAGAATTTTCATAAACGTTACAGAAAGAATTTACACAAAGGGCAGCTACATCATTAAACACACATAGAAAAACACACCATTGGTAGAAAAAAAAAAACCACAGGTAAAACTTCTGAGCACAACAAACAATAACCCAATGATTCCTTCATTGTCTAAATCATGCTACTCACCTCACAAATGAGTGGTTTCGTTTTTCACTCTTTCCATTTCAGGTTGTCAGAAACCCATCTCTTGATTTATCTCTTGATTTCCCACTAGTGCTGTTGGCATCCTCTAAATCTAGGAAGAGAGCTGGATGTAGAAACAATTTATACTCTACTTTTAATTATGATTGATTTTTTAAATTAGCTTCCATTAGTTACAAAGAGGGGAATTTCATCATTACATTTCCATACTTTTATTATAATATGGTCCAACTGATCTTACTCTGTTTCTATTACATTTTCTAGCTAAGTTTATCTCTTTTCTTAAGAAGAATTACTTCAGTAGGAATCAAGATGGAATCTGTTTAATTGCTGGGGGGTATTAAATTTAAAAGGATATTTTGGCTGGGTGATGCTGGCTCACACCTGTAGTCCTAGCTTCTTAGGAAGCTGAGATCTAAGACTCAAGGTTCAAAACCAGCCTGGGCAGCAAAGTCTGTCAGACTTATCTCCAATTTACTAGCAAAAGGCAGAAAATGGAGCTATGGCTCAAGTGGCAGAATGTCAGCCTTGAGTGAAAAAGCTAAGGGACAACATGCAGGCCCTGAGTTCAAGAACCTGCCCAGAGAGGATATTCTGCATATGATCAGTAGAAATTCAAAGGCATGTATGTCTTATTATTCATCATTCTTGACCTACAACTACAAGGTCTTGTCCTATAATATATATATATACTCCTTAAATAAGCTTGTTAGTCATTCTTTTGAATTCTTATAAATTGCAATTTTTTTTAAGCACTTAAAACAGAGGTTAAAGCCTGGTGCGGGTGGCTCATGCCTGTAATCCTAGCTACTCAGGAGGCTGAGATCTGAGAACTGAGGTTTGAATTCAGCCTGGGCAGAAAAGTCCCTGTGAAACTCTTATCTCCAATTAGCCACTCACCCAGACCCTGAGTTCAAGCCCCACAAGGGAAACACACAAATACACACACACACACACACACACACACACACTCACACACACACACACACACACACACAGAGGTGAAGGTCAATTTACCTCTTTAGTTCATTTTCTTCTAATGAGGGGAAAAAAAGGTCAAATAAGCTCTTAAATTATTTCAACTTCTCATTTTTCCTGAACTCCACTTTTGAAATAATCTCACCCAATTTCCAATAGCTTTCCTAAGATCATGCTTTATTTTTTCTTTCACTTTGAGATATAAAAAACATCATTTTCCTAAATTTTACTAACACACCATTTTACTAAGTTACTCACTAGAGACTTGCCTTGACCCTAATTTCTGTGGTTACTTTGTTGAAAACCTTGTCTTAAATTTGGCACTGTTGCTAGCTACTTCTGATCACTTATGTGGAACAAGGCTGCCAAGATTCACCTTCCAAGGAAGATAACTGATGATATGTAATTGGGCAAATCTAGGAAATAGCAACTTCAGTTCTAAGACTAAAAGGAAAAAAAAAACCTTACTGTTTGGTGTCACTGCACTTTAACAACCACAGACAACAGGAACAAATGTAGGCAGAAACAAGACATCTTCAGATACTGGCAGACAGCATCACCCACCACATTTGGCAGTTTTTTTTTTTTTTAAGATAAATAACTTTGTGGTGATGTTTAGGCTGAAATTACACAAACAACAGAGATTATTAAGACCTAAGCCTACAAGCTGTGTGGATTTCGACATTTTTAGGCAATCAATATTTTAACATCTGGACCACAAATTTGTCCTTAAAACACTGATGCCAGAAACTACAGTCTCAACACGACTTGATGGTTTATGTTTGGATTTCGAAATAAACTTAAGTTTAATAAACTCAGTTTAATTCTTTGGAATAAGTATTCTTGAGTCACATTTTTTTTATTTGAGTTATCTAGACAACCACCATCAACTCCTTATAAGGCAAAGTCTCATTAAAAAATGTTAGAAAATTGTAGCCTGTTTCAAAAAACAATTCATTATATATAGTCCTAAAATGTCTAAGGCTTATTAAATGAAAGCATCCTTAATTTTATTTCATTTGACTAGTATTTTTAAGAGCAGAAAAATAGCTAAACACTTCAAAAACTTCAATCCTAGAAAATAGCATGAAGTAATCCCCCTGTTCCCTCTCCAGCTACAGAGCTTGAACTCAAGCCCTCTTGCTCTCATTTGCCTTTGGCTCTTGGCTGACGCTCTACCACTTGAGCCATGCCTCTATTTTAGCATTTTACTGGTTAACTGGAGATAACAGTCTCTAGATTTGGCTGTCCTAGCTGGCTTGAAACTAAGATCTGATCTCAGCCTTTTGAGAAGTTAGGATCATAGCACAAGTGCAGCAACCAGTAACGTATGACACAGGGTCTTGCACTGTAGTCCATTCTGGCCTCTAAGATGTAATCCTCTGAGCCTCAAAAATGCTGGGATTATAGGTGTATACCACAACACTATCTGGCACAACCTTATTTTTTCTCTACAAGAGACTTTTTTTTTCTTGGTTAAAGTACTGTAGGGGAGGCATCTGCCATTATAAAAAGTTACTCCAAAGGCTTTAAACAGTTTTAAGAATATGCATAATGGCTAAGGGGGCCACAGAAATAGTGGGACAAAGGGTGAATAAATCCAGTAGTGGTACTCACAAGACACTATGTTGAAAATGAATTATACAACTTCAGGGGGTGGGGAGGGAAGAGGGATTTATCACATTTATAATAGCAATAAGAAATTTTAAAAGAGCATGCATAATATGAAATTCAGATCCAGCACATTAAGAATGTTTCAGTGGAATTAAAACTTCTAATTTGCTCCATGGTCTTGACCTCATATATGGTATATGTGTGTGTGTGTGTGTGTGCGTGTGCGCGCGCGCGCACACACATCTGAGGGAAGCTAGGAGGGCACAGAATCAGAGGAAAATGGGGAAAAAAATACAACAGAGGGGCCCATCAGCTGCAGTGGACATTGATGAAAATGAACTAAGCAACTCAAGGGCTAACACTAAGCAAAAGAAAAGAAATGTACATATACCACCCAACGCGGAAGAAATAGTTGTATTGTCAAAGCTTGTAAAATTCAAACTTTATAGACCAAGATAATGACAATTTGCCTTGTGAAGGTTGAAATGTTTGTGACTTTAAGTATCACCATCCTACAATACTGTGAAATTTATGTAATCATTTAATCTCAATAAAAATTTATAAAAATCTTTTTATTAACATAAAAAAACCTTCTAATTTGTAAATACCAGTTGTCTTAGACACTAGCTCCCCGTACCTCTATCCTTATCAACCAGATGCAGAGCAATAGCTCTGGATTCTAAACTCCTTCCTGACTTTTCATAATTTTTTCCCTCTTAGATTTTTTTTCCTTTTTTCTTTCTTTCTTTTGGGGGGTCCGGTCGTGGGCCTGAACTCTGGGCCTGGGCACCCTCAGCTCTTCACCTCAAGGCTAGTGCTCTACCACTTGAGCCACAGCGCCACTTTCGGCTTTTTTTTTTCCTGCTGAGGAATCGAACCCAGGGCCTCAGGCATGCAAGGCAAGCACTCTACCACTGAGCCACCTTCCTAGCCCTCCTCTTAGATTTTTTGATGTTAAAGTATTAGTCAAAGACCTTACATAGGTAAGAACTTCATTTGTGACAAATATTCTAAGAATACAACCCAAAGAGAACCTTTTCTATAGAAAAATCTATCTTTCATATATTACTTGAGCCAGGTTAACCTATTATCCACTTTTTCCTGAAGTGATTGTTCATAAATTTCAGGTGGGAAATATTCCCCGTACTCAATACTTTAAAGCTTAAAACAAGAACAACAACAAACAACAAAACGCCCTTGCTATAATGCTCAAAACTACCCCTAAACTCCTGGGCTTGCAGCAAATTTTCCTGCCTCAGTCTCCAAGCGGGGACTACAGGCATGCATCACCACACACCTGGCTTACACTGCTGTTTATTCAATGAGAAGTCTGATGTAAAAATATAAAAGAATTTTATTTTAATACAAATTCTAAAACATTAGTTTTTTCAAAAAGTAACTTGACAGATCAACGATTACATACATATATGCCATATATACACACATATATATGTACATATATACCAAATAGATTAGGTAGACATGCTGATCAATGTCTACAAGTGAAATACATGATAGTTGTTAAACTGTTTCTATAATCCATGATGCATAAATGGGAAATGTTTCAGCAGACCTACCCTCCCCAGACTTACCTCTCAGGTAGTGTGGCATGCTGTCATTGATATAGATCACTTTGGAATGTAAATATCTAAGCCTCTTTCTTGGGTCCCTTCCTGCTTTGCATGTTTCATTAGTTCTCTTTCCAACCCACCTTAAGACTCCAGTAATTAGTCTGTTGTGAGCAAGACCAGGATGATGAAAACAGGATGCGGAAATCTGCATAGCTCTAGGCACACAAGAAACATCTCCAGTCATATTCTCAATCTGATGCCTCCTTTGCTTTCTAATAGCTACCTAATTATATCTAAGATAGTGTGGAGATAATAAAATACACTGGAGAGAAAAATCAGCACTATGGATGATTAATATTCACCTTGGTCCTGAAGGCTTCCTCTTATCCACTAGTGTGCACATAATTAAATTCCTTACTGTAACTCTATATAACGTATACTAGAGCACCCAGATATATTCTGTAGTAAGCACCATGTGATTTCCAAGGAAAATGTGTTAGAGGAAGGCAGAGAAGGAAGAAAAATCAAGAAAACATGACAATTTACACAAATAAAATGCTCTTATGAAATACTTTTAAATGGATAAATTCAATTTTAAGTGAAATTTTGCCCCATAACCAATACTATCTTAATAATTGTTTTAGTGTTCATCAAAGGTATAATATATACCTCTGGAAAAGGAAATTAATTTCTTTGCCTATAAAACTGTCACTGAGTACCAGGCTGAATTTTCCAAAAGGACACATTGCTCTAGGGAATCAGGAAATGAAGTCTTCTAACTCATTACTTCCGCTATCACATGCATTCATTTAAGACTTTACCTTGACCTAGTGGCCAAGCTCCCTTTTCTGCACATGCTAGTAAAAAGCAATTAGGGAAACAAAAGATCTGATTCGGCATGGGTGAGTTTAACTCATATGCTGTAAGAACTCTCCCAGGCATTTGATGTCGTCTTAATTTGTGTTTTATAGTCTGCCCCCAGAGAATATAATAAAATTCAAATTATTCTTCCTGCTCTGCTCTCTAAACAAAAACCTGTGTGTGTTTTTTTTAACAAAGAACTGTGGCAGTCCACTTCACAATACACCACTCTAACACCAAATGAAGAACCATGGTTACAAACTCATATCTTTAAAAAATGGATGCAACAAAGCCTCTTCTGCTGTGATTCTTGAAGCTGGATTCAGATCTAGGAGTTTATCGAGCAGGTCATAGGCTTCGTCGGGGACTTCATCCCAGCCTTCTGAATTGGTCGTATACTCGCCAAAACGACTCCTGTGTCCATTATGGTCCCCTTTACATAAGGAATTCTCTGAGTGCTGCATTTGAGACGCGTGTTCCAGATACAAAGCCTTATGGTCAGTCTTCTCTGAAAAAGCCGGGTTGGGAGAAGCATGCCCTTGTGTATCACTTGCTAATGTGGAAGTGTTAGAAGGCAGACCTCTGAGTCTCTCACAGAGTTTCCTTAAGTCTTGTGCTGGGACCTCTTTGCTACATAATATCGATTTGCCTATCAGAGAAAGAAAAAACAAATACTTTATCACTTAAACATATCCAACACATCTCACTTAAACATATTTAAAGCATCTCTTCTGAGAAGCATGCCAGCTCAGCCATATGTCTTTATGTATATATTTACTGAGTATGGGATAAAAAGTATCACATGGTATTTTCAAGTTGTATTTGAACTATATATACCAGGGGAAGTCCAAACCATAAAGTAAGAGCTAGTAAGTGGAAAGCAGTAGTTAAGCTATGCCAGGCACTCACCTGACTGTCAACTTCTTCAGCTTCTTTTTTATCCTCTCTGTGATGTTAAACTAGCCGCAGCTTCCATCCTCCACCCCCTCCAAGCTTCTATGCAAGGGCTCCTGACTTCGCTTGGAGGATCCACACCTGTGTGTGCTCAAGGCACCCGCTGACATGCCTCACTATTTAGCTTAAGAATCATGTCAGAGAGAACTAATCTTAAGTTTCTGTCATAACTTACAAAAAGTTCCTTTGCTATCCTATGTCATAGCTGATAAAAAATAAATGTCAGACAGTAAATTCTTTTGACTATAAGGCTGTCTTATTTCTTTCAGGTCCCCAGACCTATACATTGGCACATATGAGGTGCTCGGTTAATGTATTACACTAGAATAAAACAATTTGAGCATCTCTTCTTAAGATGTTCTTCCTGACCAACCTATCCTACCTGAATGAACCCCCCATTCAATCCCTTTGTCTTCCTAATACCATTCATTTTTGATAATATTTTCTTCTCCTCATGAGAACTTAACCTCTTTGAAAGTGGACTCACTATAGTATCTGGCATAGATAAAACTCCATTAATGTTCCTGAATGAATTAGTTTGCAAATTGAATTTGTTTTTAAAATTAAAATACCTTGAAGATAACTTCCCATCAGCTTTTTGTCAGACACAGGAAATATAAAGTTAAATTTACATTAAGGATACAATACATAGATGTTGTAATTTATTTCCTTATTATTTGTGCCTTCTATTTCCTTATTAAACAGCAATGTGATGCTAAACAATGAATTGTGCAACATTTAGCTCCATTCCTGGAGTATACAAACTGTCAACCAGCAATCTAGATAATAAGAAGTTTTCCTTGACATACACTGGTACAAGTACTGTACTGATGTACTACTTCTAAAGCAGGATAATGGAGCAGGACAGACAAGAAGACAGCAAAAAAAAATGCATCTCTGCAAGCTAAGTTTGAGAAGCTACAGAATGCCAAAGCTTTTTTACTTTAAAAGCTATCATTCCCACTTTCTTTAGGATGATCTAGTCAGAGAAGACTAGTCATATAGTTTTATTTCTTAACTTGCAAGCTTACTCTGAAGTCATGACAATTAACAGCATATAGTATGCCTAAATTATTTGTATATGACCAAAGAGAGGGTATGTTTAAAATCTTTACAGAAAACAATCTGAACATTCTGTTAAATATGTTGTCCCAGCCTACTACAAGTTCAGGAATTTATTCTAGCATAAGCTTTTCTTTTGAACTGATTCAATACAAAACCATGGGCCAGAGGCCAAGGACAGTAAGACAGGTTACAATACAAGAGTAGCTCTCACTGAAAATCTCAGGTGTCTTCACAGAGTTGTATATGTTAAACTTTTGAAGCTTCTCAACTCAAAGTTAGAGTAACATCTGACTGAAATCACTACAGAACTTACCCTAAGATTTCTTGCCTGTTCTCATGGGACTTGCCCTGGAGTATTTTTGTGTCAGATGTTGCAGTTGCCCTCATGACTACTTTGGCTACCAATGGTGGAAATTCAAGCAATTCAACAACATGTTTTGAGGATGGCTGAATAAAACTTCATGCTCATCAACTTCCCTAAGAGATGGATTTTTGTCTAACAGAGGATAAGCATTTATTATGATGCAATATCCAAAAATTAAGACAACAACAATCTTACTTTCCATTCAGTCACTTTTCCCTGTGTGTATAATATGATCCTATTATCCTCAATAAAAGCTTCTTAGATAAGTAAAATACAGATACATTGTGAACTTACTGCTGCAGATAAGTATTTTTTTTTTTTAAATTTTTGTGGGGGACTTCTGAGACTTTCCTATCAATCATCCCAGAGTCTCTCATGTGGATTAAACTACGACCCGGTGGCTAATAAGGAGCAATCATGTTTGCAGTAGTTCTTAGCTAGAAGTAGTTCTTGTTAAAACAGCTCCCCCAAAACAAATATATCATCAGCTAAGAAACCTGGAGCTTTTCTAACTATCATATTTTTCTGACTCACATTTTCGAGGGACAGATGGGGAGGAAATCTTGAAATCTGTCAGGTAATTCTGCTGTGAACCCCTGGGTAAGACCTGCTGTTCCTGGGATGGGCCCAGGGAAGCCCAGTTTCTCTAAGGTTAACCATCCATAGGGATGCTCCACATTGCCAGCTCACTCTCCTCACACTCAATCCATGCAAGGTATCAGCTATGATTGTGCTTATATGATAAACACCGAGGCGGCAAGCTGCGTTCAGGTTTTTTTAATAACCGTAAAATTATGCTTGAAATACTGGGTACTAGTACTCTATGCTTGAATAAGATTAAAGGGTGACATGTTTAGAGAAGAATAATGAATTATTTTCTTACGTGAAAGCATTTTCAGGCTATTTAAAAGTTTCCTTACAGAATTTTATGAACACTGAGTATGCTTATTTGTAAAGAGGATTTTGTTATGATCAAGTAAGCAGTTTGTAGGAGATAATCAAAGACATCTGTTTTATTCTATAATATAAAAATGCTTACCAAAAGCTTTAGCAGCCTGGATTGTTTCCCTGGATCCTCGAATTGTCATAATTTGAGCCAAAGCAGTTAAATCATCGCTTGCTTTATAAAATGGATAGCGTCCACTAAGCAAAGAAAGGAATATGACACCTGCAGACCATATGTCAATTGCTGCAACAGAAAACAAATTTTTTAAGTATGTCCAAAATGTCATCATCTACATAAATAGTTCTAGGTTTTTGTTTTGCATTACAATCATTCAGGAAGGCTTTAAATTGAGGCTCAGTCTCAATTACTGAGATTTTGATTGAATAATTCTGGAGTAGGGTTTTGGTTTTGCTAGGCAGGAACTCTTCTGCTGAGTTATACCATCAACCCCATTTTTTTTTTTAACCATTTTTGAGATAGGATGTTGCATCAGAACACACATCTATTTTAGGCTTCCCATCATTGCTGGAATGGCAGGTATGTGTCATGGCATCCAGCTTACCTCCATGTAATGGTGGCTAGCCTGGAACCACCCACCCACCTTCCTCTCAATCGTAGATACCCACAGAGCTTAGGGTGAACATGATGACTTATTAGGTGATGGCCCTGGGTTTGACTCCAACACCACAAAAATAAACACAACCAAACGAAAAAACAAAACAGATGGGCTCAGCTTTCTGTTAAAATTTTCCTGTCCTAATTTAATTTTTTAATTAATTTAATTTAAAATTTAATTAAATTAAAAACTGTCCTAGGTTATTACCCAATATTCCACTGGCTGCTGATCTGAGTTCTGTACCTTTGCCTACTTCTATGATCTAAGTGTTGAGGTTCCTTTCCTCAGAGTCCCAATCTCTGCCCTGTTTACTCTCCTGATTGTTCCACCCATTTTACAGCTGTACCTACTGCTTATGTAATAATGATGCTCAACTGTGTTCCCAGCCCAGCTCCTTCCCTGAGCTACAGACTTATGTGGGATGTATCTATTCAGATGTGCCACAAATATCGCAAACCATTTATGCTACCAATCCAATTTTACCTTTCCCTGTAAAACAGATACATCTTTATTCATCGTGGTACACAACCAAGTCCTTCAATCTAGGAATCTTGTAGTAAACATCCTGAAAGCCCTTTTCCCTTACCACCTCAGACTCATATTTGATATCCAATTGCCTACGAAACTCTGCCTTTCCAATTCTTTACCTTCTTTCATTCCTGTTGCCGATGCCCTTGTTTATGGTTTCCTTATCTCCCACTTAAATCAATATAGGCCACACGCTCCAAAATCTACCCTTTCTGTACACCTGCCAGAATGATCTATATATAGAATATAAATTGCCTTGAAAAGTTTCTTTCCTTTCTTTCTATATACACAGTCTAAGCTGTTTGAGAAATGTGATCTGACCTTGTGTACCTCTTTCTAGGTTAATGTCTAAACAGTTCTTGACTTCCATCTTTCAGTTTCCTCTATGGCTAGAATATGCTCTTTCTTCATTCTCAGCTCATAATCAATACATCCTCAACTGTGATTTAGTCCTCTCAGACGTCATCTCTTCCAGAAATGTCCTTTCATAACTGCTTTGGATTAAGTATATATATATATATATATATATATATATATATATATATATATATGTGCGTATGTGTATATACATATGTATACATGCACACATATATTACTACAGTTTAACATCATATTCAACAGACAATTTTGCAATTATTTGAGAATGTATCTTAACTAGAAAGTGAGCAGATGCCTCATCATTAGCAAAGACAAAACAAAAATGAATGACTGCATTTCATCAAAGCCCATAACCCAAGTGCATAAAAGGACTCATCTGTCATTCATCAAGATGTCTCCAGGAGACCAGCTCCATAACAACTTTTTACGTCATAGACATCATCTTTCTTTTTCAAAATCTGTTAACAGTATACTTAAAATCTGTTTTCTGTATATGTACACACACACACACACACACACACACACACACACACACACGGATTGAACCCAGGGCCTTGCAAATGTTAGACAAGTGCTCTAGTACTTGAATCAGACCCCTACTCCCTTTGTGCTTAATTTTGTGAAGATTCTTGCTAACCATTGAATTGATAATCTCATCTCCACTTCCTAAATAGCTGGGATTACAGTCATGCACTAACATACTTGGCACAAAAAAATAATTGTATCACATACAATGGTGTCTACACTACAAAAAACTTTTTGAGGTATTAAGTAAACAAATGGAAGTGCAACAATTCTAAGGTTAGCAAATCTATTACATGTTATTTTTCCCTCCACAAGGTGATAATGACAAAATTACTAGTAAAGTCACCTTGTAAACAAGATAAGCAAAATATATTGCTTAAAAAGAAAAAAGGAACATTAAGCAGAAATGTTCATAAATAACATTATCTTAAAATTGGGAATACCACATGGCCAAAGCTTCTTAGTTTATCAATCATAAATAGATAAAGATCACAAAATGGAATAAATCCATCTGAATTGGGTGCTGCATTTCTAGTGGGACATACCTGTAGTTTGATTGGGGCACTTAGTCAAGACCTCTGGTGCTCTGAATCCTGGTGTTCCTGCTCTAGGGGCTACCTGCTGACGCCTTAGGATAAGAAAACAAGATTTCTCTTGTTATATTAAAGCTTATTATTTAAGTCCAAAACAAGAAATTCTTATCAATTTAGTGCTTTGTTTGGCTTTTACCTCAATAAAAATGATAAAGCAATTTGATAAACATCCAAGATTTTGCCTCTAATAATTTTTCTCCCATTTTAGTTCCAGAAAGGTTTTCAGATAATTTCCAATTACAAAAAGAGATAGTAGATGATAAAAGCCATAACAAAAAAATAGAGGGAGAATGATGCAAGTGAGTGACACTGATCAAGATGCATTGCACTTATAAACTGACATGCTGATATGCAACAACTCTATACAACAACCTGAAGATAATTTTGTAATGAATTAAAGAAGACCCACAAAATGGCAGTATAAAAATTAATTTGTTTGGAGGTAATGAATTATTAATGCACTTATTCACTTATACATTTGAGTTAATCAGAAAATGTTTGATCAAAGCATCCTGAAGGAAAGGAAAAAGTCCATGAGGCAAAGAGAGGGGTAAGGAAGGGACTTGTAATATTCTGGTTATTGATTCTACACAGACAAAAATGAAAACAGAACAGATTTTATATCACCAGCAAAATGTGTTCATTCTAGGCTTCTCAAGACGCTGTTCTCTGCCACCCCCATATTATCTGCACATGAGAGCACATGCGTTTTCCAGCAAGCCACATAAGTGTGTGTTAAACAATGTATGACAACAGTTCTCATTTGCTCCTTAAGGCATTATTAAAAGAATCAGTGTCCATGCAGTTCACAATCTATGCTTCCTTCTTTCACTCATTCAACTGCCCACAAAATCAACATAACCTTGAATCTTGTCTCGCGGCACTCTGGTGACTCTACTGACTACTGAGACACATTCGTTACCTTGAGAGGCAAACACTGCAGACTCTATCTGTGGCATAGCAGTCACAAGTCGAGTGGGCTGAGTCAGAACTGGCAGTTTTCTTTATCACACCACCACTCATCACTTTCGTAGAATTGGGCTTCTTTTTTGTTGCTAACTTTCTTGATACTACATCCACAGTCTTTGAGTGTTTTATAAGCTATAAAAAGAAAAGTCAGATTTTTCTATTTTTATGACTTCTAATGTGATGCCTTCAAATGCTAGCATAGCAAAAAGGAACAGCAGAAGAATAACTTTTCAAAGTTCTGAATGTGCTTTGGAATGTAAATAAAAAGAGCTGCCCATTGAAATGTTTGAGGTCTTTTGGAGGTTTTCTGTCAAGTAACCCATTAAAATTTACTAACTAGTTTTGGTAAATATTTGATTTAAACCTTATTTAAAACTGTTCTTGATAGACTATAAAATTATAAGTTACGTTACAGTGTCTAACTCCATTTCAGAGCTGTAAACGGCACAGTTTCATTGGTTAAAGTCAGACTTTCAACTTGTTATTCAAGCTACTGGCTGTTGTAAGGTATCATAAGTCAGTTTAAAATCTAACAGTGAAGACAGTTCTGTTAACATTACAAACGTCTTCATTCCATCAACTATATGTCAGAACTGCTGGGCACTGAGAGCTCACACTCTAGTAATGATATTGATTCTACCAATGTCTCTATGTTCCTACAGGGCAAGAATAGCAACAGCTAATCAAAAATGATCTAAAAAAATTCTACCAGAGAAGTTCAGGAAAAAAAAAAAACAAAAAACTGGAAGAAATAAAAATGTTGCCTAAATGCTCAAAGCAGTAATACCTCTTAGCAAAGCCAAACTTTAGTTAATGATGCTAAGCTAGTCATTCCTAAATTCCCTTCTGTGTACGACCTACTGGCCATTGCACTAGGAAGCTACATTACTTACTTTCATTGGAGGGCTCTCATGTGAAATGGAGCTGTGAATATTGAAATTTCTTTCTCCAAACACAGAGCGCTGGACAGAAAGGCCTACAGATCCTTCCTATAATACCAACAAAAACAAGGAAAGTAAGGATTATATCTGTATACACTTTCTGCCAGCTGTACTCTGACGGTTTGGAAAGAGTTAAAAGTGAAATGAAACAAAAAACATTCAAGGCATTCCCAGGTACCAAAACACTTCTGCGAAAGGAGAAAAGAGTCTAGATGGAATTTGTAGCAGCCATACAATGTTATTGTCATCCACAAATATATCTGTATAAAATTCAAAAACCACCTGTACAGACATTATGTTTTGCTGTGCTGCTAAAATGGAGATAGACACTTCAGAATTTTTCCCCTACAGCTAATGTTTTCTTTTAAAAAAGATAATCAATCTGAACTTTATAACATGCAGGGAATATTTAGCTTAATTCTTTTTTTGGGGGGGTCCAGTCGTGGGCCCTGAACTCTGGGCCTGGGAGTTGTCCCTCAGCTCTTCAGCTCAAAGCTAGCGCTCTACCACTTGAGCCACAGCGCCACTTCCGGCTTTTTTCTTTTTGCTTATGTGGTGCTGAGGAATCGAACCCAGGGCCTCATGCATGCAAGGCAAGCGCTCTACCACTGAGCCACCTTCCCAGCCCTAGCCTATTCCATTTTTATCTTAGAATGTAATATCTTACTATATGACAGAGATATTACAAACTGGTAAAGTAAAAAAATTCACTTTTTAAATAGTAAAAAGCCTGGTGCTGTTAACTCATGCCTATAATCCCAGATACTCAGAAGGCTGAGATTTGAAGATTGCAGTTTGACCCCAGCTGGGGCAGGAAAGTCTGTGAGACTCTTATCTCCAATTAAACAGGAAATGGCGCTACGGCTCAAAGTAGTAGTTGAGCAAAAGAGCCCAGGGACAGCACCCAGGCCTTGAGGTCAAACCCCATAACCAACCAAAAAAGAAAAAGAAAAAAGAAATAGTAAAAGAAAATAGTTGCCGGGCGCTGGTGGCTCACGCCTGTAATCCTAGCTACTCAGGAGGCTGAGATCTGAGGATCGCGGTTCAAAGCCAGTCCGGGCAGGAGAGACCATGAGACTCCTATCTCCAATAAACCACCAGAAAACCGGAAGTGGCGCTGTAGCTCAAGTGGTAGAGCGCTCGCCTTGAGCTGAAGAGCTGAGGGACAGCGCCCAGGCCAAGTTCAAGCCCCACGACCGACAAAAAAAAAAAAAGAAAATAGTACAAATTTTAATGGAAACCTAATCAACTGAATATATACAACAAATACAACAAAAAAAGAAAAAAAGGAAATCTTTCTAAATGCAATATTACCCCAACTTTTTTTCTTGGTGCTGGTCCTGGGATTTAAATTCAGGGATTGGGCCCTATCTTTGGGCTTTTTGGCTCAAAGCAGGTCCTTGAGGAACAGCTCCATTTCTGACTTTCTGCTGGTTAATTGGAGACAAGGGTCTCATAGACTTTCCTGCCTAGGTTGGCTTTGAACCACAGTCCTCAAATCTCAGCATCCTGAGAAAGTAGCTAGGATTACAGGTATGAGTCACGCATCCAGTTCTATCTCAGAATTTTTATCTCCTTCTGCTGGATAAGTATCTTTCTAAAACAGTGCTAGAATTTAAAAAAATATATATAAAAGGTAGAACCTTTCCATCTTTTCCTTGCTTAGTCTGAATGTGCTCGTTTGCACAGGGTCTTTTGGCAGGCTTTGTGGCGGCCTGTGGATCTACACCCTTAGGCGCTGAACCACCCAACGCAGTCTTGTTTCCAGTGATTCCACGGCATTTGTTTAGTGAACAGCTTTCCTGCTGTGCTTCAGACTGAACACATTTGAGGAGGTCTATTTTTGTATCATTAGTTCCTTGGGCCAAACCGAAGTCTACCAAAGCATACCTATGAAATAAAATTAAGTGTTATTACTTCCTTGTAAGAATGAAAACTTAGTAACATTGAAATAGTCTCAGATTATATTCATAGAAACTGGCATTCTTAACAATTTATATTGTTTCTTTAAAAAAAATCAAAATGAATTTCCCAGACAAAGTAAGGACTTGAAAGCTAAGACTGAAAAATAAGGAAATATGTATCCCTTAACCAATTAATCAAGCATGCTTTTTTTCTCCTGTTTTTTTTTTTTACCCTATCATGGCTTGTGCTGACAAGAAGGCAGAAGAGGAATGCATAATAAAGCAAAATCCTTTGTGTTCGATAATGGCAGAGATCAAAGTATAGCAGTTAAGTTCTAATTATACAAGGGGAAGAAATTTAAAAAGTCAAAAGTATAAAAGCCCAAGGGAAAAAACTATATTCTTAATATAGTCAGTATGATCTATTTGTATAATTAACTTAAATATTATTTTCTGTTTATAACACTTCTGTGTATATGTGTATAAATACATATAATCAGCATAAAAATATAAACAGAAAATTGCTGTCCAAATCTCTCATTTATTGGTACAAAAAAATGAAGCACTTGTAAGAAACACTTGCAAGATCAAAAAGGACAGATTCTAAATCACTTTTAGCTTAGTAACGCATCAGTTAAACCATGGTGTGAAATCTATGTAAGGATGTACATTGCTTTACTAATATAATTTTCCTCATTGCATTTTCTTTCCCCAGGGACAAAATTTTAATTGGAAATCATCTGTGTATAGGTGCTGCAGTATGTCCTCCATCTAAGAGATAGATTCTATAGCAGATTCTACTAAGAGTAAATGACTTCTAGAATCGCCATACTTACTTTTTCAGATGTCTATTATATAAAAAATTGCTGGGCTTCACATCACGGTGAACAATACCAAACTGGTGAATGCGCTTCAAGGCTTTTAACAAGTTAAACATATATTCCCGAACTTCTTGAAAGGAAAGAGAATTCAAAATGTCCTAAAATCCAATAACGAGTGAGGTTACAATATTGTTTCCAATTAAACGTTTAGCCAGTAAACATTCAAGAAATACTAAAAACTTACCAAAAAGGATTCATGTTCCAGATATGGCATTGCAATAACCACATGATCATTTTTCCTAAAGCAGTATTTAACTCCCATTACGTTGTCTTGCCCCCTAGTGGAACAATGTGCAAAGAACTTTACAAGAAAGGTCATATTAACTGAATACAATTTTATGCCTTGTTAAAAAAAAAAAAAAAAAAGGGTAATTTTAGCTATGCAAACCTATTGCTAGAAACCTGGCTTACACATCATACTGGACAGCAGAAATACTTAATTGTAGAAAAGAGAAAACAAAATAGCACCATATTATTATAATAATTAAAATGAGATAATTATAGTATTTTGTTGGGGGGGGGGATTAGCTTTAGGGCTTTAATTCAGCACCTAGGTGCTGTCCTTGGCCTTTTTTTTTTTTTTTTTTTTTTTTGACTCAAGGATAGAGTTCTACCAGTTGAGCCACAGCTGTACTTCCAGCTTTCCGCTGATTAACTGGAGAGAGGAGTCTCTTGGACTTTCCTGACCAGGCTGGCTTTCAACTGGGATCCTGGGATCTCAGCCTCTTGAGTAGCTAGGATTACAGGTGTGAACTACCGGTATCTAGTGATAACTATAGTTTTAATTGAGGGATGTGGCAGAATAAGAAGGAAAGGAAAACACAAACAGGATTGAAGTAAAAAGACTTCGTAGCAGATGTTAACAGTAATACAAAAAAACAGGTGACATTTACTGACTATTGAAGCTCTTCATTTATTTATTGTATTGAAACTCTAAGGCAGGACTTCATATGTATTAACAAACTCATTTAATCTTTACAAGTACATAAAGAGGAAGGTGCTATTATTCTATCACACCCCTTTTATTTTTGCAGATGGGAAAGTTGAGACAAAACAGTTCCCCATGGTTACTAAAATGGTTAAGTCTTAGAGACGTGATTAGAATGCAGGCAGTCTGGTCAAGATCTATGTTCCTCACCACTGTGCAGTATGATTTGCAGTGTATGTGTTTGAGTGAGAACAGTGTTACTATCAACAATCTAGCCAAGAAGCACCTAAAACCAAGATCTCATAATTTTAATAGAGACACCAAAATAAGTTGGAAGTCAAGGTATAGAAAGAAATAATAGCTAATGTAAAAATGAACAGAGAAAAGAGAAAACTGAGCCTGGGAAAACAAGTCTGAAGCCGGAACCAAGGAAGTGACAACAAAAGAAGGCCTGATAAAGGAAGAGGAGATCCACAGTAAGGACTAAGGGAAGACTTACTTGGACAATGAGAAACCAACGTGTTTCCAGAGTAATTTAAATACAAAGACAGAGACAAAATAGGAGGTGAGGAAGGAAAATAGGATACAGTAGAGCAGAACACAAAGACCACTTACCTAACTGTGCTGCACTATTAAGGTTTAAACTCGTGCTTGCTAGGCAGGAACTCTACACCTGAGCCATACCCTCATGCCATTATGAATGTACAATCTGCAGTACTATAAGGTACCGATATGCAATTAGTCTGTGTCGATTTTTAAAAAGTCCATTGTGTCAAAATGATGCCTACAGTCTTGGCTGACTTTAAAGTTTAGCAGAGAAGCAAGCAGTACCACACTGAATGAAAGGGAGGTGTGGAGGTAAGAATAGTATGTGTAGATAATTTCTTAAAATCTTGCTGAGAAAGGGTGGGCGAGGATGGAGAATTCAGGAAGAGTAAAACACACGTCTACATGCTGACAGGATCCACCTACCGGAGCGAAAGCAAGGAGAAAGATTCGCCAAATGATTCTATGATTCTCAATGAAATATGAGACACAGCTTAAATAGCCATGGCAGCATGTGAAGTTCCTCACACTGAAAGAAATTTACACTGTGGAAGCTAAGCTTTATGACTTGGTAAAGATGCCCCCCCAAAAAAGCGGTACAAGAAGAGAGGAATCATGCTGGGCTTCAAGGTGGATCTCCCCCACCCCCACTCTCAGAATCCACAGCTATCTCACTGACCAGTCAAAGTTCAGCAAATTCCTAGCAACCACAGACAACTGACCGAAAAACATTCAGTTCTCACACACTGTCTTTACTCCTGTGAAGCACCTAGTTTAACATACTGTAAAGTGAGACACAGACAATTCAATTAAGATGAATCTAAATGGCCTACCCAGCCACTGTTAGACATTGGAGTTCAGCTGCAATTCTGACAGGATGACTTGTGGGAATTAAGTGTTTTAGAGCAATCTCCTCTTCAGGTCCTTCTTGTGACTGGGCAGTGGCCAAATAAACAGAGCTGAAAGTGCCTGCAAGACAATTGACAAGATTTTCGATATACAGCTTTAAAAAATGTCAATGAAATAACAGGAAATGCTAATAAAACATTTTAAACTGATTGGCAAATGGTTTTAATGACCTAACAGATAAAAAAGGAATGTTCATCTTACTGTAAAATGTTCATGGCTTATACTTTTTCCCAGGGTGGGGGGGGGGGGGGGGGGAGAAAAGCTGTTATAACTAGCAGTAAATAGTATTATGGTCTGAGTATTTTTTTAAGTGTATTTTTTTAAGAAATAATTATGAAAATCAAAATTATGTTTTTATTTAAAAAAAAACATTGTAAAGCTAATCATGTAAACCCCCAAATTACCTTCTCCAATTTTGTCCTTAATTTTGAACACACTGCTAAGCTGTGGTACAGCTTCATAAAGCTTCTCAATATCTTTTTTAACTCCTATGAAAGAAACAAGAATTTATAGTTACAATCAATGAGAGATATTTTACAGTTTTTCTTTTCTTTTCTTTTTTTTTGCAATAGCATCTCACTATGGAGCACAGGCTGACCATGAAATCCCAAACCTTCGGCACTTCATTCCCCAGTGCTGGGATTACAGGTGTACATCTTCACACCTGGCTACAGATTCTAAGTTTAAATGAAATAAGATCTAACAATGTCTTCACAAATCTTAATATTATTTGAATAACCATAAACCCATCCATAGCTATAACTTACGTACATGTATTTTAACTAGAAAAATACAAAAATCTCAGAATTGCATAGACCAAATTGCTACTTCACTGGAACTACATACTAATAGATATATTGTTTTTACATATTTGGCCTTTTTTAAAAATGAAGATACTAAATTTCTATATAACTTACGCTGGACATGGCAATACATGCCTGTAGTCCCTACTTGGAGACTGCACAGGAGGCTGAGGCAAAAACACCTGAGCCCAAGGGTTTGAGGCCAGACTAAGCAACAGAGTAAAAAGACAAAATAAAATAAAAATGAAGAAAACAACAACAAAAAACAAATTTAAGCTGCAATCACCAGATGGTATAACAAAGACACAATAAAATGTTCCTGAAAACTACTTCCTTGCCAGTGATACAAAATCTTACAGCTTAGGCCCCTATGACCCAGCAATGCCACTTTTGGGCATTTACCCAAATGTTTACAAACAAGACCATACTAAAGCTACCAGCACAACTATGTTTATTGCAGCATTATTTACCATAGCTAAGATATGGAACCAACCCAGATGCCCCTCAGTAGATGAATGGATCAAGAAAATGTGGTATATATACACAATGGAATTCTATGCCTCCATCAGAAAGAATGACATTGCCCCATTTGTTAGGAAATGGAAAGGCTTGGAAAAAATTATATTAAGTGAAGTAAGCCAGGCCCAAAGAAACGTAGGTCCCATGGTTTCCCTTATTTGTAATATCTAGTATATGTATGAGTCAAGCGGAAAAGGTCAGATAATGTGATGTCAGGAAAATGAACCCTTAGATGTGTATTTTAATGTTTTTTTCTTTCATGCGTGTGTTTCTAACACATTTATAAGATTATCTCTTTGTTGCTTTGTATGTCCCTCCCCCACAGTATAACCCCTGCTTTCACTATATTTGATGTCAGTATAACTTGTGGAGGAGATGGGGAAAAACCAGTTGTTTAAGGATACAGGTGGACCTGTTGCAACAATGAGATGTACAAGTTGTCATGTCCAAAACGAGCTTTACAACGTTGGTGCGAGGGGGGGGGGGGGGAGTGCGGGGGGGGGGGGGGGGGGGGGGAAAGGAGAAGGATTGGGATTGGGGGGGAGGGGGGAGGCTGGGAAGGGATGTGAAGGGTAAACAAAGGAGGAGGCTGCAATGCTTGGTAAGGAATGTACGCATTATCCTGTCCATGTAACTGTAACTCCTCTGTACAGTATGTTCACAAATAAAATTAAATTAAATTAAAAAAAAAAATCTTACAGCTTAGGAAAGTTTCATGTGTAGGGCTAAGTATGACTGCATATGTTTAAGTTCCCAGCTATACTAAAGGTCAAGATAGGAGGATTGCAGTTTGAGGCTACTATGGATGAAAAAGTTGGCAAAAGTATCTAAAAAAAAGAAAGCAAAAAAGGACCAGGAGGAAGTAGTTGGAATGGTAGACAGCTTGCCAGGCAGCCCCAAGATCTGGAGTTCAAGCCTCAGTACAATTCCTCCCCCACAAAAGTTAATTTTTATGTATTAAATATTCACAGAGGAGCTCCCCAGAGGAGCTCTTAGATATATCTATTGTCTTTGTTTATGAAGTTGTTTTTTTTGTTTTGGTGCTGGTTACTGGAGCTTGAATTTATCCTTAGCTTTTTTCTCTCAAGGATGGTGTTTTGACATTTGAGTCACACTTCCACTTCTCAGACTTATCTTGTTAAAGCATATTACTAGTTCATTGTCTATAATACTAGCTAATCAGGAGGCTAAATCTCAGTCAGAAGCAAGCCTGGGCAGAAAAGTCCTGAGATTCCATGTCTAATTAACCAGCAAGCAATAGGGTGGGAGGCATGGTTCACATGGTAAACAGCATCAGCTGAACAAGCAAGACCAACAGTGAGGTCAAGTTCAGATACAGTACCACTAAATCATGTACTGAATACTTACCGAATATACTTTACAAAACCTTTCAGGCTTATATCATGCTTGGAAATGTCATAATGAAATTCTCCCTCACCCTTCTATTGCTAATATATGTTAATAATAGTAATAATAAACAGTTCATGCTTGTAATTCTAGCTGCTCAAGAGGCTGAGATACAGTGGACTGAGGTTCAAAGCGAGCCTGGATGGAAGAGTATGAAAAAAAGCAAGACTGGAGGCATGATTTAAGGGATAGCCAAGTAAGCATGAGGCCTTAAGTTTAAACCTTATTAACAAAAAGTTTTTTAAAATGTGTCCCAAATACCTCTGTCTGATATAAGTTCATGAAAATAAAACAGGTGGAAGAAATAACAAAAGCTAACAAACAAATGGATGCAAAATGAACCAAATAAGAATCTTCAGACTTTATTGCAGTACTGAAGTATCAGCTATCTGTTATCATAATGCTACTCTGCCCAGTAACACTTTCAGACAGTTTCAAACCCTTTCACACATATTCTCTTTTCAGATCTTTTCCCTCTTTTATAGCACTTGGTTAAAGTCTTGTGGTGTTCCTATAAAGTCCACTTCATAAATGAAAGGTCAAAGGATATTTTGGATTATCACTATATTTGTTTAGGGTAAATATGGAAAAGCAGCTTCTTCCGTTACTCTCTGGGGAAAAAGAACATAAGGAACTGGCACACAGACGCACACACACAAACTGTGCCAGAAGTAGGAATGAAGGTACACATGTGAATGTGCAAGGCCTTCAAACACTTCTGCAGGAACGCGTGGAGCTATGGTGTTTTACTACTGCTACACACATTTCACTGTTTTTGTTTTTTTTTTTTTTTTTTGCCAGTCGATTCTGCTTTTGGATAAAGCAATAATCCCTCCAGCTTGAACTTCTTAAACCAAGCTCAGTGCAGTGCGATGAGGAAATCGGGCCTGGAAAGAGGAATTCCTTTTTTGGACATCAACAAAACTTGTGTTTTTTTTTAGCCAATCACTAATGTGGGACCTTAGCAACTCCACGTGAAATTGGTAACACTGGATCACAACTCTCCTGAAATGCAATCGGGTCCTAAAACCAGGTCTTAGGCCTCTCCATACATTTGTAAGATGCTCCTATAGAAACACACAGCTCAATAGAAAATACAGACAGGATGCCCGTGTACCTCTCGAGCTGGGCATCAAACACATACCTGAAAGTTTATAACTCTGTGCGTGCTTTTTTACCGTGTCATCAGCCTGAACGGGGTCAGGCTGGGGAGACAAAGCCATGGGCTCGCCCGTCCTGATCCCCAAAGTCTCCTCCATCACAGAACCACCGGCATGCCCGATGTCAGCAGCTGAGGAGCCGGGTCCTCGGAGGGGGCAAAGCAGCTGTGAAAACCGAACAGTAGTAAAGACACAGCTGAATGACGGAGCTAAGCACCCCGACACCTTGGAATAACTCAACTGAGCACTCCGCAGTGCCTTTGCTCCTCCCAGGGCAAAAAAAAAAAGAATCGCACGAGGTTGCCCAAATCCCCAAGGGAAGGAAAACGGAGGCCATTCCTAAGAAATTCCGTTTGCTAACTTCACTACCTAGAGAAACCAGGAAAGGGCCGGGGAGGAGACGTCGCAGCCGCCGCCGGTAGAAGTGCACCGGGACCCGCCAGGGCGGGAGACCCCGGGGAGGGACGGCGGGAGAGGCGGGGCGGGGACGGGGGCTGGGCCTGAGGAAAATCGCCGGGGAGGCGGCCCTTCATCCTCGGAAAGCAAACGCCCCGCAGCTCCTCCCCGGCCCCGCGAGCGCGGCCCCGGAGCGCCGCAGCGTCCCCCAAAGCGCGCGGGCTGACGAGCGGGGAGCACCAGCCCCGGGCGCCGCAGAGCCCGGACGGCCCGGGCCAAGCGGAGGCGCACTGCGCACGCGCGAGGCTTTCCCGCCACGAGCCCGGGAATCTGAAGAGGAGCATAGGGAGAAGGGAAGAGCTGCGCTGCGAGCAAACCGAAGCCACCCTGCACAATTCTTTCCCACATCCTCACACTTCCGCAACAGGAACAGACAGAAACTCACGGTTTAGGGGAGTACGCTTCCCGCCGCGCCCCTAGACGTCCGGGCGGTCGCCCCCGGCAGCTCCAGCCCTTGGCAAGCCGGCCTTATCGCGCCTGCGCAGTACTTCCGCCTCCCGCCTTTCGGAGTACGCACGCGTGCTGCGAAGCCCTTGGCGCAGCCGGCTAGCTAGAGTACGCATGCGCCGATTGCTTCTCGTGCGGTGGTAAGGGGAGTTCGCGGGTTAGTCGTGAAGTAATAATTCCTGGAGCCGTGCAAACTGGGATTGCACCAAACAATATTGCCTGTTTGGGTGTGAAAATGTCAAATAACCCTGACTCCAAACCAGTGCTCAGGCAAATATCAGTTATTTTACTTAATCTACTTTCTCCCCAGGCAGTTAAGTAGTAGCATCCCCTCCTCTAGGCTCTATTTGCACCTTATGCACATCTCTGTCCCAGCTGAGGATATCCCAGGCACCCAGACACCCATCTACAGCTCAGCAGCCTCTCTGGGTGACTGGCATGAGCTGTACAGGCTCAGAACACTACTGGAGAACACTGGCTCTTGTTCATGCCTGGACTTGAAACACATCATTTAATTCATAGTAGATATTTTGTTCCCTTTCCCCTATGATCATAATCTAATACTTGCTATAAAGAAGGAAAAGAAAGTAGAAGAAATAGGACTTAAAAAGATGATAATGCTGCATTACTCTTCAGACTCCTGCCTAGCTTTTTCTGTTCAGATGGGGTCTCATGAACTTTTTTGCTTGGGCTGGCCTAACTCCGATTCTCCAGATTTCAGCTTCTGAGTAGCAACTACAGGTGTGAGCCACTTGTACCAGGCATATCTACCCCCCTCTCCCTTCCTCCCTCCCTTCCTTCCTTCCTTCTTTCCTTCCTTCCTTCCTCCTTTTTCTTTGCCCATCGTGGGGCTTGAACTTGTCCTAGGTGATGTCCCTGGGCTTTTTCTACTCAATGCTAGCACTCTATACTTGAGCCACAACTCTACTTCCAGCTTTTTGGTACTCAATTGGAGATAAGAGACTCACCAACTTTCCTGCCCCAGCTGGCTTTGAACTGAAACCTCAGATTTCAGCCTCTTGAATAGCTAGGATTACAGGCCTGAGCCACAGGCACTCAGCATCTAATCCTTCTTAACAATTCAAATTCTTTGTTGTTACTAATAATTCTAATACATTCTTTTGCCCCTCACTACCTGAAAAGGACAGTACTGGAATCTATAAATGATGTCACATCTTAACAAAGCTGGAAGTTACATCTATTTTTAAGACCAGAGTTACTGCCTCAAAATACCCCCTTCTACTCATCTCTCTAGAAGGGTAACTGTAATTCTCAAAGAATATATTCTAGGGAACTAAAGTGCACCTCTTGCCTTCTAGACTCTCTCAGAGTTAAGAATATAGAGCTTGCTGGATAGTAGCTCACACCTGTAATCCTAGCTATTCAGGAAGGTGAGATCTGAAGATCACAATTTGAAGCCAGTGGGCAGGAAAACCTGTGTGACTCTTATCTCCAATTAAGCAGTCCCCCCCCCCCAAAAAAAAAACAGAAATGGAGCTGTAGCTCAAGTGTAGAATATCAGCCTTGAACACAAAAAGCTAAGTGAGAGCACTATGCCCTGAGCTTCAGCCCCAGGGCAAACACACCCAAAAATAAAAGAAAGAGAAAGGAGAAGACAGAAAAGAAGAAAGGGAGACAGGAGAAGGAAGGAAGGAAGGAAGGGAGGAAGGAAGGAAGGGAGGAAGGAAGGAAGGGAGGAAGGAAGGAAGGGAAGAAGGAAGGAAGGAAGGAAGGAAAGAAGGAAGGAAGAAGTTAGTTTTGGAGGGAGGGAGGGAAGAAGGGAAGGAAGAAAGGTTAAAAGCCCTCTCTCATAGCCAACACTACAAAGTTGACAATGTGAAGAAGGAAAAGAAGGACCTAAGACCTAAGAATTAGAACAAGTAATACCTTCTTGCCTATGAAGTACAAAGCATAACATCTCAAATACCAGATTTTTAAAAAGAAAATTTACAAAACCAACATACAGTCTATTTTTAGATCCTAGAACAGACAGTGATCGTGTAAGCATTCATCTTCTATACAGCAGAGATTGTATCTCTGAGACCTATGCTAGGTACCAGTATCTCAGTATTTCCAGTTGCATGAAAGACATCTGGAACTTGTCAGAGCACGTTAACTTTACAAGACAAGTTCCTTGTAGTGATCCCCCTGGGCAAAGCATTTCTTCCACCACATTTCCACTACAGTTTCTCCTTGAATGGTCACCATGCATATCAAAAAATGAAGATTAAGTTTCCTTAAACTTCACATTTTACTTGAGCAAACCATCCAAAATGATAAAGCTATCATCATAGATTTTTGGCTGGGCACACGCTTGTAATCTCAGCTATATGGGAAGCCTAAGTAGGAGTGTGGTCCCAGACTGGCCCAGAACGGGGAGAATGAGACCTTAACAGAAAAGTCATCTAAAGTATAAAGAAGTGTCTGCATGATTGAAGTGGAAGAGTATTTTCTAGCAAGCATGAGCATGCCCTGAGTTCAATGATGAGTTATACCTAAGAAATTTTTAATTAGTCATATTATCAGTACTATAAAACTTCCTTCCTTCCTTTTTTCCTTGTGGGAATAAATGTATTATTGGATATTTCTACTTCCACTTTCTATGCCATTTTGTGGTTTTGATGTTGTATTTACTCTTTTACAATAAGAAGTTAGGATGTTCTATGAAGGAAATCAGTGTATTTCTAAATATCATTACAATGTGTTAACATTCTTTAAGAACCAAGTATCCTAGACTACTGGCTGGATATCTTAATCTCAGATTCAGTAACAACTCTTAGAGGGAGGGAATGGGGAAAATACAGTCAAGAGTATATACCACAGAACTAAGAAAAAGAATGGAAGAGGTGGGTAAAAAGTGGGTGAGGATGTTGATGGGATGACAGAGTAAGATGGATTGTGTACATAAACTGCTGTGTTAAATGGCAAAAAAAATTCAATATATACCCTAAAAAATAAGACAAGTGAGGGAAGGGGGTTGGGAAGGAGTTGGGAGGGGCTGGTGAGAATGTTGAAAAGGGTGACATTGATCAAGATGCACTGTACTCATAAACTGCTTTGTTGAGTGACAACTCCTTTGCACAACTACTTAAAGGTAACAAAAAGATTCCCAAAATTCCAAAGCTACTGCATACTTCTCTGGAATTTCTCTTGCCTGTGATATTTAGTGAGATTAGGGAGTATTTACTTGTCTGTGTACTACCATCTGTGTGTGTGCATGTGTTTGTAAGCACTGTCCTTTTTGAGAATATATTATTTACTAGAATAAATAAGGCCAATGAAAAATAGTCACATAAAGAAATGTTAATAAAGCCGGGTGCTGGTGGCTCACACCTGTAATCCTAAGTGCTGAGGAGGCTGAGATCTGAGGATCACAGTTCAAAGCCAGCCTGGGCAGGAAAGTCCATGAGACTCTTATCCCCAATTACCCACCAGAAAATTGAAAGTGCATTGTGGCTCAAGTGGTAAAGTGCTAGCCTTGAGCCGAAGAGCTCAGGGACAGTACCAAGGCCCAGGCATTCAAGCCCCATGACTGACCAAAACAGAACAAAACACAAGCAGAAGAACTGACAGGGAAGATTGAGGTCTGAAATTGGCCATGGGGGAAACATGTGAGGCCTTATCTAAAAAAATAAAGCTAAGAAGGAGGAGGGGTATGGCTCAAGTGGTAGAGTGCCTACCTAGCAAGTACAAGTCCCTGAGTTCAAACTCAGTACAACTACTATCAATAACAATAGAAAACAAATACTGGCACAGATGTGGAGGAAATGAGTGCTATGGATGGTAATTAAATTAGTGCAGCCACTATGAAAATCAATATGGAGCACTCTCATTAAATACAGAACTATCTGACTCTACCGCTCTTGGGCATCTACCTGAAGGAATGTTAGCATGCCATGAGACACTACCATACCCAGGTCTATTATAGCACTATTTACAACAGCCCACCTTGGGAATCAGCCTAGGTGTATATCAACAGATGACTGACTAAAGAAAATGTGGTCTATTTCTTTGTTGCTTTGTATGTCCCTCCCCCACGGTATAACTCCTGCTTTCACTGCATTTGATGTCGGTATAATTTGTGGAGAGGAAGGGGAAAAACAAATCATTTAAATAGGGATACAGGTGGACCCATTGCAACAATGAGATGTACAAGTCGTTATGTTGAAAACGAACTTTACAACTTTGGTGGGGGGGGGGAGGATTGGGTGGGGGGCAGAGGGAGGATGGGAAGGGATGGGAAGGGGAAACAAAGGAGGAGGCTACAATGCTTGATAAGAAATGTACTCATAAAAAAAGAAAATGTGGTCTATATATACAATAAAGTATTATTAAGTCTGAAAGAAGAAATTCTGTCACTTATGGAAAATGGGTGAGCCTAGAGATCATGCTGCTAAGTGAAATAAATCTGACTTAGACAAATACTGCACAGTTTTATATGTGAAATTTGTTTAAAACAAAAGAGACATCCAAGCCCAGAGTTCAAGCCCCACGAACAACAAAAAACAAACAAACAAACAAAACAAAAGAGGAAAAAAAAGAAAGGACATAAATATCTGTTTTGCAGTGGAAGGTAGAAGGGGAAAAAGAGAGGACGTAATGAACTATGATTCAAGTACCTTATAAATACATATGAAAAAGTCATTATGAAACCCAGGTAAATTTTGCAAGAAAGTTAAAGGAGAGGGGAATTGGAGAAGGGGGGGGGCATAAAGAGAGTCATAGAAGGGGTGAATATGATCAAATCACAGTGTACGTTGCAATCATTTGTATATGTGTGGGCATATATTTCATTTCTCTTAGTAAATACTTAGGAATCAAGTAGCTGATTAAGATAATATATCTTTTAACTTTCTAAGAAAAAAGCTAAACTTACAAAGCAGTTGTATCCTTTTACATCCTACCAGTGATGTGTAAGAGTTCCAGGTCCTCCACATCTTCACCAGCACTTAGTAAGGTCAGTCTTTTTCATGTTGGCTATTCTAATAGGTGCATAGCAACATCTCATTGGAGATTTTCCTAA